CTCTCTTCTCTCCTCTCCTTCCTCTCTCGCAACACACATACTTTTTCCTTCCTCTCCTCCCTCCCTCCTCTCTCTCTCTCTCGCTCTCGCTCTCTCTTCCCCTTTCTCTCCCACTCTCTCGTTCTATATATTCTCGTAGAACTTAAAAGCTGACTTCGTTGTATTCGGTCGGCGGGAACGACGCGACAAATAGCATTTATATCGGGGCATTCCCGGCGCGTAGAAGAGGTTATTGGCAGCAGTGGAATTGAGACATTGTGCGCGTCCGGTCCCCCGACGTCGCAACGGGATTCCGCGCACCGTTTCGTGCGTGGGGGACACGAGCATTATTTTTTTTCCTTTTTTTTTTTCTTTTCTTTTTTTCCTTTTCTCTCTTATATACGGAAAATTCGGGATGGGCGTTTCTCCGGCGCCGTCGTTCCTGGATGAGCCGCCAAAAGTCGAAGAGCAGACACGAATATATCATGATTGATCGATGGTGAGAATCGGTATAATAGAGCCGCTGTACCAGGTGCCGCGACGCAGTTTGGAGCCTGGGGGAGGGGGGATCTGTCCCTTCGGCTCCTGTTCCGGTGCTTAAGAGAAGATACGAAGCGCCTGTAACACGGGCCTGGAGCAGACGGGGCAGCTTGGGTTGGGACGCTCGCAGACCTGGTTGCCGCAGTCCAGGCAGAAGTGATTGTGTCCGCATGGCACGAGGGCGGCGGTGACCTCCTTGTCGCCGCACACCACGCACTCCCGCCGTCCACCGCCCAGCAGCGAGTCCGTGGGTGACGTGGGGCTCGCTGACGCCGGCGGGGACGGCCTGGAGGGTAGCGCGACGCCTGGGAACGACCAGATCGAGGAGGCGGACGCCGTTTGGGACTCGAAGGAGGGCGACTCCCCTAGGCCCTCGTCCCTTTCCATCCCAGCGCCCCAAATCGCGACGAGATCGTTCAGCCCGGGCGCGCCGGAACTACTTGACGAGCTACTGCAACTGCCGCTGCTTGAGAACGCTCCGCTTGATCCGTTCGAGCCGTTCGAGCCTGGTGGATCGAGGCAACCGAGGATCGAGCCCAGGCCACCGCGACAGAGGACGCTTAGCAGTTCCGAATCGTCGAGGGTGGTTCCTGTGCCGGTTCTAAGTGCTATGTGTGCCTCGATCTCGCGCCTCGCTGCCTCCACGCTTTCGGGTAGCCCCGTCACCTCGAACACCGGCTCCTTGTCGCGGCTCGGCGTCACTATGTAGGTGTGGGTCTGGTGCTGGATTCTCTTGATGGTAGCGCCCTTCGGTCCTACCACAAGCCCGACTACTCTGTACGGGACTCGTACCTGAATCGTCACGTGGCCTGGAACCGAAGCCGGTGGGCCAGGGGGCGCGCCCAACAGGGCGCCCAACGAGCTCTTGCGGGAGGCGCGGATCTGCGAGAAGTGCTCCGCGGCCGAAAGTATCTCGCGCTTTGCGCGGGCCACGTCCTCCTTGCGCCCGGTCACCACGAACACCGGCTCCTCGCCGCGCACCGGGGTCTTGATGTAAGTGTTGGTCTTCGCCCGGAGTGCTTTGATTTTACAACCTGCAATCAAACGGGGAACGATCGTTTAGATGCAATGTTCCGTGGGATAGAAACGAGCTCGAACCCCAAGATAGGATGGTTCAACGATAGGAATGCGCATTAAACATATATTTAAAAATATATTTTATATATGTATGTATGTATGTATGTATGTATATATAATCAGTTGGGTTGTCTTTTTTTTTTTCCAAAGTTCGATACCGGGCGTAATCGTGTTACACTTTTCCTCAAAGATGAAGGGGATCAAAATTTATGATTTAATGCATACCGTACGTTGCGGTATAAATTTAACGCGTATAATACGAGTTTAAAGAGTCCATTTTGTTACGAACGGGGGCCGTTTTAATGCCTCTGTAATAAAAATATATCTATAAGATGTGGTAATAACACGTCGGTTAATATATTTCAGATACTGACATGTTGCGTTAATACGTGTAACAAGAATGAGATCAAGATCGAACGAGCGAAAGGATGTAAAGCAAGTGCATTAACTTTATCAATCCGAACGATCGCTTCTCCAATTCTCCTTAAACGAAAAACGCGTTCCTTCGTATCTAAATAAATGAAATCTCCCCCCATCTCTTCCAACCACGGACACCCGAAAAATTGTAATATCCTCGAGCAGTTGCCGATGCGAGAACCAAGAGAGGAGACGGCTTTGTCATGACGCAATTGTCTGTACACAACGCGAGGTACGAAAAAGGAGAGAAGCTGGAAGAGGTTGGTGGGATGGAAGAAGAAGAAGACGGGCAAAGAAAAAGTGAGAGAGAGAGAGAGAGAACAGGGTGCAGGAAACTGGAAGGAAGGAGGTCCCGACCCGGTCTGGTCCTCGGTCTCGCAGACTCCCTGGCCTTGAGCCGGCGCAATGCTAGCAATGCAGGTGAACCACTCCTCTACCTTTCCTTCTTCAACGCTCGATCACCTTCTCCCGTCCGTCTCCGTCCTCAGGCGTCCACCTTTCTCCTTCCCGCGGCTATCCTTCGCGGTCTTCATCCTCCTCCTCCTCCTCTTTCTCTCTTCTCCCTCTCTCTCTTTCACCGACCTCCCTTTCATTCAGTTCACTCTCTCCTTCGGCGAAGCAACGACACACGCGGCTGCTCTCTCCCTCGCATACCATTGATTCTCTCCTTCCCGTCTTTGTCTCTCTTTCTTTCTCTCCTCTTCCAGTATTTCCAGCGCGATTTCGCGTTCATTAGGAAGGTTTGTTTTTTCTTTCTTTTCTTTTTCTTTTTTTTTTTTTTTTTTTCGTATTGAATCTATCGAAATGCTCGTAAATCACACGACGATTTTGAAGTTTTGATTCAGATAGGAAAGTGGTCGTGGTTTTTCCCCTCGATCGAGAGCGGAGTAGGAGGCACGGCCGAGGATGGCTCGTGGTCTTCACGTGTCGTTGACCAAGGGAGTTTGATCCTTGGAATGTGGAATGGAATGCGTCTGTTTATTTTACAGTGTAAAAAGAGTGTAATGAAATTCGTGTGCAATGGTACGTGATATAATTATCGAACACGTTCTCCAACACACGTATAAATGTATCGTAATAAAATCTAATTTCGCGATTCGATCGACAGGAAAAATTTAAGAAACGATGAATAAAAAATCTTTTTCTACATATACATAAATATGATACATCTTTCTGTACAATTAGATTCTTCCTACTTCCTCCTACTCCAAAAAACAAGCCATCGATCGTAGAAAAAAGGTCAGATAGCGCGCAACGCCGCTCGTTCGTTCGATCGAAATGAGACAAGATTTCTGCCCATTCCTATAGAGAGGTCGGTGAGAACATTCTCTCTTTACCGAGGTTTAAACGTTCCCTTGGTCGGGTACGTAGTCCTTGCGCGACGCGACAATGTCACGTCCATGGCTCTTCAGGGACAGCCGCTGCGGCACAATCTTGACATCGATACGGCCTTAACTGCACGCCACAACGCGATTCGAGGCGTTTAAACGCGCGAGAGAGAGAGAGAGGAAGGACACGACGAGCCGCGACGCGAGGTCGTCTCGGGGGCGCGAGCGTAATTGCGTCCATAACCAGCCGGAGAGAGCCTCCTTTATTCGCGGAAGTCCGATCAATTCAGCGAATTTTCTCGCGGAAAAACACTGCACACTCGTCTCACCAGCTACGTGACCTTAAATACGTGTCGTCTCGATAATCAGATGCGTAGATCCTTCTTTTTTTTTTTTTTTCTTCCTTTTCATTCGAAAAACATTCGTAACGATTCGATTGCTGCAGTACAATTTATGATGAATAGAAAAAAAAAGAAATTTAATTTTTCTTACCAACTCTCTGGTTGCCAACCAAGATAAAAACCTATCGCGTGTCTGAGATAACGCGGATGCTTGCTCCATCTGTGCAATTCCGCGAATCGTCCGCGACAGTTAGCGAAGCATATATTATGATCAGGGCATTGCTCGCGTTCGATAATCGAGAAATCGATTTCTCTCTCTCTCTTTCTCTCTCTCTCATGTCTCTTCGTCGTAGATTAGCACGCTAATCCCAATGGGATCGCGGAGCATGGTCGCGAAGCGTGAAGGTCGAGCTTGATGAAAAATTGATTTCGTAACGACGGGTCAGGAAACAGGAATGATCCACGCACGAATCTCTGGGGGTAAATCCTGTTTTCAGTTTCATCGATCACGCTTTATTTTCGGAACCAACCGTCTCCCCTTTCTTCCTCCCAACCGGTTTACCTTCGACGATTATATTCATTCAACGGTTACGCACCTTTCCATCCCTCCACCACCCTTTTCTCTGTTTTTCTCGCGCATGCGAAGTTGATCGAGTGCATGGGCGAGGAGGATATCCAAGAGCTTGGATAAACTTAGGAATAACTAGTACAACTTTCAAGGATCCTCGAAAAAATGAATAAAATTATCCTCGTTCTGAGAACGAGAAGAAATCGCGAACTTCTCGTTACGTCAATTTAATAATTTCTTTTCGAGAAACTGGACTGATGAAAATTGGATTTTTCTTTTTTTTTTTTTTTTTTGCTTTTTTTGTTATTCCTTGCAGATCGATGCGAAACCAAAAATTCCAGTTCTCGTTCGTCCCGCTTTATTAACGTTGTAAATCCTCGTCCAAGGATATAATATACGCGTCGCCAGCGCGTATTTCGTTCGACGGGTTTGCCAAAAGTATGAAAGTGTCTCGTTTGTGGAAGCTAAACAAGGTTACTTTAGGTTCCTTTGGCTGTCGATTTATTCGGATTATGGTTTGAGTTTCGACAAAGGAAGAAGATTGTGTTTTTCCGACAGAGTTTAGCTTCGAGGAATCTAATCCGTGGTCTTTATTTTTCGGATTAGTTCTCTACAGTATTCTCAAGTCGTTTTCTCCGGCATAAAAAAAAAAAGAAAAAAAATTATTAAGAATTTTTTCAAGATGCAAAAAGTAAAATATTGGAATGTTCCTCCGATGATATTCGAAACAACAATTTTTTCCCCAAGTTGTCGAATAAACGTAAGAAATGCTATGAAGTAGTAAGAGTTGTTAAATACAAATTATCCGATATTTCAGTATTTTGCATCCGACGTGAGTTGCAGCAGTTGAATAGCTAACGCTCAGCTTAAGTAGCTACTAAGAAAATCATAAGGCGAGGGGTTTACCCTTTCGTTACTGAAGCTGACTGCAGTCCCCTAACATTGAACACGTCCGTTGTGTATTAAAGATTATTACAGTCGTCCATCAAAATTTTAATTAACAATTGTGATCAGTTATATATTATAACTTATATCTTAATATTCATAGGTTAGTTAACTTTTCTCGCATTTTTATTCCGTATTAAATCCAAACGAAGGAACGTTAATTAAATACAACGAACAACTCGAAATTGATTAACAATTTCATCGTGATAAATGGAAGCAAAAAGTTCAAAATTGCAACGTTTGCAAAGTCAACTTAATCTGTTTGTCGTTCAAATTTCGTTTCTAAATTGACAAATCGACGATTCAAGCCAATACTCAACCGTTGATCGATTCATTCATCGAACGATAAAAAGATTTTTTGAACCCGAAGCGAGCCATTTTCAGTGATTGCCTTCCGACTGGATCCTCCATTTAAAGTTAAATTAGACGAGCTCGAATGCGACTACTATATTGAAAGACGAAAAGAACGGAAATTTTCGGCTCGAACTCGAAATCGTGCGATATCGCATGCCAATGACTAGGTGCATCGGTTATAGTAGCGATAAAACGCTGCGGGGGAAAGTTGGTCGTAATTCTAGCTGGCAAATTGTTAAGACGGGCTCGCCACGGCACAAGGGTAACCATTATTATCCGTAATCTGAAGAGGCATAAATTTGCCCAAGGATACAACGGCGAGAGATGCCTTGGGCCTGCCGTAGACGAGAAGAAAGACGTAGAAATCGAGGGGAATAAAAATTAGAGGGCTGGCTAGCCTGTGAAGAACCATATCGATGTCCCGTGAAAGCTATGGAAATAACGTTCGACGGAGGATTCCGATTGGTGGAATCTTGATTGAAACAAGAACTAGTTTTATTAGGTATCGTTAAATAATTGCACTGTTGAGAAGAAGATTTTCGACGGAATAAAGATCTAAGTTTCAAGAAAATATTCCTTGCCAAACTTTCTAAAGGAAAATTGAATTTTGAAGCGATCTTCTTCTCCGAAAAATTTATTTATAAAATATATATTTTATTAAAGAGAATTTAAATAACTCAAACAAAATTAAAACTCCAATATTATTTGTTTCTTCTGGGGGAAAAAAAAAAAGGATAAAACGAGGATCATATTCCTATCGAAATTTTTAATTTAAGCTTGTCAATCTACTCTTCTCTTCGACGTACGTCGCAATTTCAAACTGTTAATGATATAACAACGTGTATTTTCTTTGTTCTTCTCTTCTTGATAAATACTTGACAAGTATCACAAACGATGATCTTGCAAATATATTGTAAGTTAGTTGATATAATTTGGTCCGAGTAACGTATACGAATTCAGAAATATCGAATATTATAAAATTCAATTGGATCAATGATACCACTCTTCTCTTCCGCATTTTCATTTTTATTATTGGCTTCTTGTAAAATTCATTAACCATCGGACACATTAAACTTCTCAACTTTCTTAATACAATTCAAATTAGACACGGTAAACTTTGAAACTTCGTTTAATAAAAAAAAAAAAGAAGAAAGATGAAAGTCGTAGAAACAAACTCTGAAAATTGGAAGAACGTCTCTGTCCAGCCTACGTTTAATTAGAATTTTTTTTCAAGTTGCTTAACTATCATGGGCCGAGCAACAGACTCTCAAGCACTCTCCAAAGATTCCTTCGACGTCGAATCTTTCCAAGTTTGCAATGGATCGATAGCTCGAGTTTCTTTCCAAGTTTGAAGGGCAAATCCTATTACGTGCTACGTAACAGTTTCCTCGAGAAATTTTACAGAAGGATCCTCTTTAGGTAGACGATGATGTTTCGAGACGGAGTTGAGTCGCTGATCGATCCTTCTTTTTTTTTCATCACGAGGAACGGACAGGCCGGCGAATTCCGTTTATCCAAGGCTCTCTCTTGTTCCGGAAATTCGCCTAGGGCGAGCCTGGGCGGTTCCATTGGCTAAATAACTCGGAGAAGGCAGGTGGATAGGTACACGCACACCGATAAAACTCGCGTGTGGTTGGGGAACAGCCGGGAGGGAATGAGAGAAGGAAAGGAGGAAGCGAAGTCGAGGAAAGACACGTTGTTGAAAGAGAAGGAGAACAACGTCGTCGACGACGATCTGGACGAGGATGAGGACCAAGTCGAAGACGACGACGAAGAAGAAGAAGAAGAAGAAGAAGAAGAAGAAGTAGAAGACGAAGGTTGCCCCTCGTGGTCGAAGAAGGTGGCTGCTAACTCGATGCTGGTACCAATGGTTGTGTAGTGGTTCTGGATGGAGGAAGAGAAGGTGGGGCGTGGGTCGCAGACAGTTGAAGGGCCGCGGCCAAGGTGAGGTGAGACGGAGAGAAAAGTGAATGAAAGAGAAAGAAGAGTGAAAGAGAGTGCATCGAGGAGAACGCAAGGCGCCTTTTGCCTTTGTCTGCCTCTATCGAAGGGACAAGAAGGAACGAAGAAAGAGAGGGATCGACCCGATCCTCCCGTCGAATTCTTCTTCTCCCTCTTTTTGTTCATCTCCTTTCTTCCTTTTTGCACGCATCGCGAAATCGCAAAGGACGAAAAGGGAGTAATAGGTTCGGCGGAATGCTCGACTTGGGGATGAATCGAATCGTCCGGATACGCATCAGAAACGGCGTTTCGATTCAATCGCACGATTTCCACGAAGGGTGTCGATTCGAGAGAAGATAGTTTCGAAAAGCAAGCAGAAACTGTGATCGAGCTGCGTTGCTTCGCGTGCACGCCCGCGATTACGGTGGATCGCAAAACCGGGTTCGTTATTCCGTTGATTTCTTTCTTATTCATTCAAGGTGCCATTCACGTAGCCGATACACGTGAAGCACGTGGCCTGTTCTCCGTTCGAGTACAATGGCGAGCAAAGCCCTCTCTCCGGAGAGGAGTTTGGACCTTCTATTCCCACGATACGTCACTCTCTTTCTCTCCTTCTCTCGAATGACGTTGCTGAAATCTGCGGCAGCCGTTAGTAGCAGCAGCAGCAGCGGCGGCGGCGGCACGTCTCTTTCCCTCTAGAGGCAGCAGGATCAATAGTTACTCGCCTCTATAACCGGCAGCTGCATTATACACGCTGCTTCAGAAACTAGTAGTCATAGTGTATCGTTCACGAACACCGGTCAACGTTATCGACAGATTTGCTATTATCTATTACATGATGAAGTTGCCAAGCTCGTTGCTTTGATACGTCTATCATTATGAAGAGATTACGCATCTGGATCGATCGCTATCAAAAATCCTTCGTCGTTTGTGAAGCTGTTCTCAACATCCTCTGTTCCGTCAGGTTCCTACGAATGAGATGCACGTTGGTGATACTTTAAACGTTTCGAAAGAGAGAATATTTATTCTCCTGGCGGAAAATCCTACGAGCATCCTATCGTATTTCTTGGAAACACGCGAGGTTGCATTTTCGAACGGATGGAGGAGAAGGGAAAAAGAATCGTACAAGAGGGACAGGAACTCGGGGAGCCATCTGCTCGTCTTTTGCTTTAATTACAGCCACCAAATGCCTCGCCCGAGAGGCACTCGTCGTTTCCTCGGCGACTCGCCGACGACCGTGGGCGATATCGACATAAGTCGACCCGAAAAGAACGACGAGGAATTGGAATCGTTCGTTTAAACGTAGCTGCGAAAGTTGGTGGACCAAAATGCTGGAAGCTTCTTTTCAAATATCCTATATAAAACGTGCAAATTTAATCAATGATTCAAACAAGTCTAGGCTAACATTATTTATAATAATACTTCTTCGCAAATATTTAAAAATCTATACTTATTATAATCTGTATTATTACTATAAAAAAATTTTACCGAGTTCTTTCGTTAAAAATAAAGGAATAGATCTGAAGCATTCCATTAATGAATGGACAAGACCCTGTAATATGTCAGAATTGTTCGATATATCGATAATCCATTCCAAACCGGAAAACGAACATTTCATTATATAGAAAAGCTTCAATTATCATGGCGTTGATTATAGAGAATGAATGTGAAACAATGTTCAGGTAGAAAAAGATCGGTCGCTACATCGTGGTAAGTTTATTTAGGATTCGTGGGCCCTTAAGTAGCGGTACCCTTTGGCATCTCTGGACATTCGTGCGTCGCTACGTCCGCTCGTGGGGCACGAGCCGCGCGGATATCACGAGTTTCTCAGGCAGGTCAGTGAAACTGCGCCGTCAAGTTGAAGGCCAACACCCCCACAATGCAACGGCCGAGTACCACCGCTTGCCCCACCATCGTCTGATCCTCAACCACTTTATTCTCTCCTCCCTTTCCGCGCCATATCGTCCCTTCCTTGTCACATCGCCTCACGATTTCCCCTTTCCCCCCCACATAGTGACCAAGTCGCTGGAACATCCGAGGAAACTCCAATAACATCGATAAACTCTATGAGTAGTTAACTGTCCGCGACGGAGACTAAGCAAAAAAACGAGCAAAGCTACGTCAATCGTATAGAGAATTTTTATTTACTTCTTTCAGTCTTTTTTCATTTGTATTTAGAACTAATATACATTTCATAACAAAAATAGAATTAAGTTCTGTCGCAGATTATTTTGAAAAATTAGTAAAATAGATTAGAAACACGGTTATATATAAATACAGATAAATTAGAAAAATTTTGAATTGGAGAAACAAGTGTACGAAGAAGCTTCGTGATCGATGTGCAACGTGTTCGAATGTACGGTCATGGTGATACTCACTAGTTTCCAGGAAAACCAGTCACCGATTGGTTGGACGCAGCGCCAATCATAGAAGCCCTTTGAAAGTGAGCATTGGTTCACGAGCTAGGTAGAAACGAGTCGTGGTCATTCGTACGCCGACCACCGAGTCGTGCGGATGCATTATACAGGTGCATGTACACATTCTTTCTTCTATTTTCCTGTCTTCCCTTTCGCCTTTCTTTCTTTCTCTGTCTCTTATACGTTTTCCTTTATCTCCCTCTCTGACCTCTCTCGAAGGCCAGAAATTCCAACCTCTTCTCGAAATAGATCGATGACACTCGTCCGAACAATCTCGCGCGTATGCACGCGTCGCTTCATCGCATATGTGTGATTCGCGCACACGCACTTAACGTCCGTATCTATTCACTTCATATGTACCCGTACACGATCTATAGATGTATCTCTATATATATACATATACATGGTATCCACGTGTGTGAATATAACATATATATACATTCTCGGGGCCGATGTCTCTGAAATAACCGAGCGAGGCACACTCGTCGGACAGGGGAATAAGGTGCAATGCACGCACCCGTTCACTGTGGCCTCTCTTTCTCGCTTTCTCTCCTACCCTCCCACCGCTAATGTCTCTCTTTCTGTCACGTTTCCCTCTTTCTTCGTCTACCGATACCGACTCTTTTTCCCTTTCTCTCGTACAGGCACTGCAACTGCAGTTGCATCCGACAGTGTCTCGAATGGCAGTGGGGGTCACACTATATTAAGATTGAACTCCACTGACACGGCCGCCCAACTGCGTTCATTCTCCTCCTACTCTTTCTTCTTTCTCTTTCTCTCTCTCTCATTCTGTTCCGTCACCACTCTTTCTTTCTTCTCCCTTTCTTTCCGTCCGCACACGTTCACCTTATCTCTCTCTTCCACTCTTTCTCTTTCTCTATGCCCGATGCTTCTTCTTTCTCCTTTATTCTCTTTCTCTCTTCACTTTACTCGATACGTCCGCTATCCGGCCCGATACGCGACGACCGGTGTGTTTCGTGTTCCATAGAGAACATTCTGGGCACACACACACACACATACACACACATATTACGGGATACATTGTGCGCCGTCTCAAGTCTCGCGATAGAAAAATCAGATTACGAAAGACCGTTGATTTTCTACCGCGGGAACGTGTTACGTGTCGTCGGAAAGAGTACGAAAGAAATGGCCAAGCTCTCGGTCGTTGCGATGAAGGACACGGTATTTATTCGACGACGAAGGGATTCGCGAATATGCACGAGTAATGAAGACGATATGGAAATCAGATTTCAATAAAAATTACATAGAAAAATCTTACTTAATTCTTTCTTTCTATTTATCACTACACTTTGCACGTAAAAATTCACATTGGTTTCTCTATCTTGAATACGTTTTTCGTCAAAATAAGATCACTATTTCGTGCAATCACTATTTAATGCGTTATATCGAGAAGATACGAACAATCCATCTTTACAATCGTTTAACCCGTTTATAACACCTATGAATATCTATTTTCATCGCCATCAAAGGACATAAAGTTTGAACGATACCGACATAAAACTCGAATATCCCTTTTCGTAAAGTTTACACAAAATGGCTTCTTCTGTCTCTACTCATGGTCAAATTAGTTTTCTCGCTTCTCGACCGCAGTGCGCACCGTCGTTGGCGGCCAATTATCGTACTACGCTGGACAGCAGTTAAAGCTGAAACCAATATGGAAGAATGTTGCAAAATAACGAGGCACGCTTAACCCATGGCCGATGATTCATTATTGGTTCACGAGTAAGTGTCATGTATATGGGACTTACGCGGACAGTACGGTTCAGTTATAATTATATATATAATACACGATATTGGATGTCACGATATTAATGAGCCACAGCGGATATAATGGGACGTGCTGCCCACCGTGGAAGTCAGCCACTCCGCCCAACGAGTGGCTCTCTCGATCGTTCTCGAGAGAAACCAAAGGGTGAGTCATTCGTCGATCGACCTACCTCAAACCTTTCTCAACCGGACGAGCGGAGACATGTGCTTCTCCGTCTCTTTCCCTTTCTCTGTCTTCGAGAAAACAGGTAGCTTCATTACGCGCCCAACGGCCATATTAGATTTTCTCCTTCGTGCTTTTGCTCGTTCCGCCACCTATCTTCTGACTCTTCTCCGTTGTTTGTCACGGATATAACTGTGCGCACAGCCGCGTTCGATACTTTTGTTCACGAATCAAACAAATCGAGACGACATTGAGTAGATTACCTTGTATACCTTTTCATTGAAATACGAAACTAAGAACAGCGATGATTGTATATGTGTATTTAACTTGTCGCGAAGTATTTATTGACCGACAAATACACACGTTTCGTGTTTGCGGAATGATTTAGTTACTTCGTTACTGGGCGTATTTTTCGAAATATCATGAGAATTCAAGCAAATATTAATTTCAAACAATTTTAATATATATATCATACATTTAAAAGCATGTTAAATAAGCATATTAAAAATATAAATTTTCCAAGAATTATTGTACAAAAAAAGAGTGACAAACCAGATACATTTCTAATCATATTTTGAACAAAATTTTATAAAAAAGAATATCATTTTTTCGCAAAAACGAAAATACCATATCAATACTCTAATTGCATCAATTAATTACATCTTTTTGAATATTTTCCTTTCAGCATGTACAATGTTAGGTTAGGACACGATCGTCGCAAAGCCGGGATAAATCGATTACAACCGAACGTCGACGAAACTATCCCCTGACCTGGAAGAAGGGTGGGAAATGTGCTCGACCCCCAGACTCATGGGTATATCCCATCAGCTGTGCCTCCAGCTGTAGGCCACTTCGAATGCAAAAAAGCACGTCGTCAAGGGGCGAGAACCGTGGTTCGAGCGTGTATCGATCAAAGGCTAGTCTCTCCTCTCTCTCTCTTTCTCTCTCTCGCCATTTTCTCTCTGCATATGAGATTCGTTCTCGAGGGAGCAAATAAAATGGCGCGAGACAAGTCATCCATCCACTCTTTTGGTTTAAACAATAATCAACACTTAGTGCTTATTCCTTTCCCCTTATTTTTCGATCTATACCTTAGACTTTCTTCGTCTTGAACTTTTTACCCCGATATCTCATATCCCTATCTATCCGACAATGTACCCCTATTTTCATTGGATCTGTCTTGAAGGAACCAATGAAATTCAACGCTGTGAAACGAGGTTCCCATCGCTGTGAAAGGTTCAAAATGAGATGCTTTTTCTTTATGTGACGCGACCTGCTGTTTCGTTTTTATCCCTTTTCGCTTTGTTACTCGAACTTATTCTAAGTAATTTTTATGTACACAGGTTGATGAATAAGGGGTGCACATGCAGTACATCTGACGAGATGTTCAACCCTCTGGGAACGCAAATCCATCAAAGGTAATGTATCGGTGAATGAACAGATACATATTCAAAGAAGATTGACGAGGAACGTACGATTCGAATAATATTTGTTTAATTTATTTTTTCATGAAATGCTAAATGTAATGTATATATGAATGGTTGATTGAAACTGAAAATATTATCAATGAGGATGCTTATAACTTTGTATGCGGTACAAAGTTATGATTTTAAAGAATAAATAGAATAAAATGTGTTTATGTAAAGACAATTGAAAGAATATTCTTTTCAATTGAATATGTCAAAAAGAAGGAAGCATCGATACATAGATAAGATTTTATCGAATGGTTGTTGAATATCTAACTTATATAACATGTTAGAGCTTTTAAGATATTGGATACCTGATTGACATCGAGTCATAAAGTAATTCGATTGGATGACTTTCAAATTATTTAAGCAACTTAGTCGGATAGCTTTCATAATGCACGTATTATTACGTCAATCTTCAGTGAATGTAACTAATAAAACTATTAAATATTCCGAAACCGGTAGATAACATTAAGAGACGAATGATTCATTCAATTTTAATTTCTCCATGATCTAAGCTTTACCATTTGATCATTCATCTTTTAATAATTCTGACGACATAAAGTAAGATTTAATATTGCGTTTTAAAAATCGAAATTTTTCTTAATTGCAATTTTCATTTTCTAGTTAACTATCTGCCAATTTTCTAATCTTTACCTAATTTCCAATTTCGAATCTAATTAATTAATCTTTCATTATATCAAATTCTTTGAATTCTAATTTCTTGATTCACTGATAGTTCTTTATTAAATCTTTATTTTCTGGTTCCATAATTGCTATCATTATTACTATCTTCTCAATCCCAGTCCATTAAATTCTGATTTTCTAATAACAAAAACAATTGAAAATTTCTGTTTATGTAAACACTTAAAATTTTTCGATCCTCCTAATTAATCAACAATCCTAGTTCTAATCAATAATCCGCTAAAATCCTCTATAACTTTACTATCTTGAGAAATCAATCCACCCAAATGATAGTAACCAACATTTGATGGACTCGTTTAAAGTAAACAACTTTTCCAATGCGCGAGAAGTTCGCGTTACGCGTAATGCGCGTAACGTGCGCCTCGGACAACGCGTTGATATGCGCGCCGCGTTTACGTGTCGCCGGTAAAAAGCGCGTGCGACTTATACGCGATCGACAAACATAGAAATTACGGATATAAATCGAGCACGGAGCGATTCCACGCAAACGGTTGGGACACGAAGCAAGAAAACATCGACGCGTATTCGTTCGTCCGTTCGTCGAGCAGAAATTACGCTCGAGGAGGAGGCGAAGAGGCCACGAGCGCGGTGGACTTTAGATGCGTTCCCTGATCGCATGCTTCGGTTAGAGAAAACTGCGCGTAACCTGAACGAAGGGAAGTCCAGCCGGTATACGGCGCACGTAAAACGTACGCACGCGATTTCCTGAGAGGCGAGCATGCGCAAAAACCGTGAGGAGCTCCGCGTAATTTGTATACGCCAAGTTTACGTTGAAACGCGATAAAAAGTGCCGCGTAATTTACGCGGCGGGGTTATTCTGCCAACGTTGGGATTAATCGTTGGTTTTGCCTGGCTACCCACGTTACTAACACCCGCCAACGTGTATCCTTCGATGAATTCCCTGTTTCGATTACTACTCGACGCGTCATTCGTTCGGCGTGAACACTAAGATGGCATATTTCACAGCTTGGAATTAGGTAGACGGTTAACTGAAGTTGGGAATGCGCGGGAAATTTTTTTTTTTTTTAGTTTAGTATTTAAAAGATTATGGATTTGTTAATTTTTTTTTTTTATTATATTAATATGTATTTACGAGATTTATTTACTCGTATATCGATCGATAAGTCGTGTAACTACAATATCGACGTATCTTACTTTCCATGCTAACCTAAAAAATTCACAACTGTGGAGATATTTTCTATAATTTGTGACAAATCATGAATAGAATAACTAAATTCTTGATTAACAAAAATTACTTGTCAAAATATTATACATAAAAAATTCAATATTGTTCCACAAAATTGGCTATACCCTAAAAACTTTCGTAAAATTTTCAACGAAAAACCGAAAATTTTCCAATCGTCAAAAGTGTCATCAAGACATGAATCGTAGCATCGATTGAAATCATAATATACAACCACGCTATCTCGCGACTAAACTATACTTATACTACGTTATACCATATAAAGTCCGACCTACCACGCCAGACACGCCTATACAACGGTATATAGAAATTTATACGACACGAACAAAAGTTACTGGCTGTATGCTGACGCAACTTTCCCTCCACCGGTGGCAAAAATACTCGAGGTAACGAAAATTAATTTCCTGCAAGATTTCGAGAGACGCAGGAGGCCTCGTAGAGAGAAACATTCCTGCGAATCAGCGGTGATGACGATTCCTCGTGACAGGTCTGCTGCAATTTACAACAATGTTCCCGTCGTGAAACCACCTCTGTCATTTACCCGCTGACGCTGAATGTCGGATATCGCGATTGCGGAATACCGATATCAACGCGACAGGGATATTTCGAGTTCGAGAAAAAAAAAAAAAACTCGGATGGCACCTTGCATGGGTCACGTGGACCGAGAATTTCCCGCGAGTCAAGGCTGAAACTCGCTTGTACTCCGCGTCGCGAGGGATTCCTGCCATTACACGGCCAATTGTCTGACGAGATCACGTGTGAAAATGGAGATGACGGGATAGAAGAAATAGACCGACGACGAACGGGTAGACACGTTCGTCACGACACGGTTGACTCAGCGCGACTCGTTCTGTCCCTCGGCCCGACTCTCCTCCCGTAAGCCAACTATGGGGAGTGGAGTCGACTCGGCGCATAAATAATCGTGCGAAAAAAATTCAATCCAGGGGGCGCCTCGGATGCGATGCCTTCGAACGCGCGCGCGACTAGCATTTCCTGTTTCGACCCCTTAACCACCGATGGCTATAACTAATTACTTTCGCGTCTCTCTTCTCTCTCTGTTTCTTTCTCTAGGCCGCGGCTGCGCTCGTTATTTATGCCCTCGAAACATTGCGCTAATAAATCTGGGGGAGGGTATGCGCCAAAGATAATTTGTATCGAAGAAGGGTGGACAGTAAAATACGAGGGTCGTTCGGTAACTAACGGCTGATTCGTTGCTAAATTTTTATCCCCTCGTTAGCCTCGTGTCGAGATCATTTTTGCTCTTTGCTCTTTTTTATAAACACGAGGGAACACTTTTCGATATCGTCTTTGCTACTGAAAGTATGAAATGACCGTATACTCGATGGGAGATCGAAACGAAGTTGTAACGAATTTGTTAAGAATTTAAGCAAGGCACGCAAGTTGAGATAAAAATTTTTATCCATTTATATACTTTAATCAACTTTATCAAAGTCTTCCTACTATTATTTTTTTTTTCTATGCATATATTGAAAAAGAAGATTCTTTGAAATTTTGTATGTTATTATGGATATAAATGTAATAAATGTAATAAAATGATTAAAACAGATGTTTAAAAATTCCGATTAATACCAAATAGTTTGATTAAATGGATTGATCGATCTGCTTTTAATACATTGTGTAAACGAATGTGATGAAATTAATAGGACAACTAATGGAACTAGTTCTTCTTAACAGGTTCGTATTAAATCTAGGAACTGGTCGCATAGATCGTTAGCAAATGATGATAATTATAACATTATGTATCTACATATATTTTATCGTATTATACATGTATATATGATCAGTTGGTGAAAATTAATGTTAATTAAGTTACTTCTAAAATAGACGTGTAATTAATGCGTATACTAGAACAGAAAAAAATAAAAACACAAACGTACAAATAATTATTAAATAATTACTATTATTATCATGGAAAATTAATTCACGTGTTTCAAATACGCATCAATCGTAATTATACCGCATAATCTACATAATAATTTTTGATTCATTCTTCGCGCAATTAGACAAAGGAAGAATAAAAAGAAAGAACAAAAGCAACGAAATTATATCGAATTCATATTCATAAATAAACATCGAGAAGTTGCATTGTCTACACATTGTTGTTCGTATCTTTGAAAAGAGAAGAACACCGCAAAAATTCACTGCATAAATAATGCATAAACTTCGTGCAACGATTGCGAAAATCGTACGCACGCGTCAACAATGGGATTTCTGCGATCGAAGATCTCGATCGGTATTTCGATTCGCCTACTTCGCCACGATTTTGCAAAAATTTCGCCTCGCAAATCGTCCGTATTCTCGGAATCCAGCGACGCTGTTCGTGACCTAATGATGTAGAACGCGATACGCGGCTTATTTTACTTGGAAATCACCCTTAAGCTTGTAGGTAAAGCCGCAGAATCGGTAATCAGGTACGCAACTACCGATCGGAACAGGCTTTAATCGCCTCTGTCAAATTAATACTCGTTGCACCAGGAAAACAACGAAAAAAATGCTCCCGAAATTTCAATTACATCCCATTATATTTTATTCAACGCAGTTCATAAAGTTGATTTTTAATAATTCAAATTCGACTTTTTACAACCATCATCATCCGTCCTCTCGAACGAGAAAAGAAAGCATTATTCTGTGTTGTGATAAAGCAACATTGACATAAACATCGAGAATATCTTTCGTATATATATATATATATATATATATATATATATATATATAGAACAGAAAAAATAAAAACACAAACGTACAAATAATTATTAAATAATTACTATTATTATCATGGAAAATTAATTCACGTGTTTCAAATACGCATCAATCGTAATTATACCGCATAATCTACATAATAATTTTTGATTCATTCTTCGCGCAATTAGACAAAGGAAGAATAAAAAGAAAGAACAAAAGCAACGAAATTATATCGAATTCATATTCATAAATAAACATCGAGAAGTTGCATTGTCTACACATTGTTGTTCGTATCTTTGAAAAGAGAAGAACACCGCAAAAATTCACTGCATAAATAATGCATAAACTTCGTGCAACGATTGCGAAAATCGTACGCACGCGTCAACAATGGGATTTCTGCGATCGAAGATCTCGATCGGTATTTCGATTCGCCTACTTCGCCACGATTTTGCAAAAATTTCGCCTCGCAAATCGTCCGTATTCTCGGAATCCAGCGACGCTGTTCGTGACCTAATGATGTAGAACGCGATACGCGGCTTATTTTACTTGGAAATCACCCTTAAGCTTGTAGG